CATAATATTTTTATGTCAAAAAAGTAATCCTAAAATGTAAAAAAAACTTAAAATATAAATAGACATAAGAGACTTTTTTGTAAGTCAGTGATATATATATAAAAGAAAAGCGAACATAGAACAAATTTTCATACGTAATCTGAATCTTTACACAAGATTACCAGTGTTTTGGATAAGAATTTCTAACTAGACTAATACAAGGTACAGTTTGTTTGTTTGAAGTTATGCACAAAGCTACACAATGGGCTATCTGTACTCTGCCCTGTCACTGGGGGGGGGGGGGGCAGGTACAGTTTAAGTGGAATTAGCAGGTCTTTGAAGGTATAGCGGAAATCCAGGTTATATTTTGTGGTGGCAAATCACATCAATATATCATTTTATTGCCAAAGTATGTTTAAAATAAGGAATGTTTATACACAATCTATTAATTTGAATTTTTCCGAAAGCAACAAACACATCAAATAGGGAAACATTAGGTTTTCTTAACAGTAAAATGATAAAAACATCCACTGGAGAACTCATCTGTATTATCTCTTAAAGTAAATTGTAATACGTGTGTGTCAGTACGCTCTTTTCATCATTTATCGTTACTTGTTGTCTGGGAAATGTCTTCTTATCTAATTCTAATAATTGTATAATTCTTAGTATAGGAGGTAGTACAGATACGTTTAGGATATATTGCTTTTAATAAACTTGATTAAATTACATTTTGTTTATTTTCCTGTTATAGGACAACCTCGTTGACTGTGTATATATATATATATATTATATCGCTAATGTTTATACATCGTATTAAACCGACATTGTATTAAGAGTTTCATAAAGTCAAAATAAAGAAAGTACAATCAAAGTATACCGCTCCCATTATGTTCGTAACCCAAAAACGTAACACACAACCATCAATTTTAGTCAAATCACAAACCTATGACACTAACTTTTGGGGGATTTTCATTGAATATGTGCTGTTTTTCTTATAGCTCCATGTACTTTCAGGCTATGACATTATTTATATAATGCATTATTTTTCTGTTTTTCAAAATCATTATTTAGTTTCTGTAGTGCATACTGGTGTATAAAAGACTTTTTAATACTAGAAATAAGCAACCTTATAACACCAAATTTGTTACTTTTCTTTAATTGGACATTAAAAGTTTCACTTTACAGCTTCTTTAGGGGCGTTCCACTAAAATACAAACCGTAAATGGCAGGACAAAGCTTCAAAAGTTCTAAAGAGACAAGTTGAATGTCCGATTAAAGAAAAATAACAAATTTGGTGTTATAAGGTCGTGTATTTCTAGCATTAGAAGTCAAAATTAACAATAAACTTTCCTTTACATTCACTGAAATGTCAACAATATACTTTAATGTACATTAATTAAAATGTCAACAATACATTATCGTGCACGTTTATTAAAATACAGTCTCTACGATCCTTTATTCCAGTAATTTTTTTATAATGCATACAGATGAAATATGTCACTTGCAGTTTATTTTATGCATCTACATATTCTAAAAGCACTTTTGAGTATAGCATGACATATTTGGGACATAAAATCTCTGCAGGTGTGTCTATACAAACATATCTTTTGAAATTAAACCAGATTCCTTTTATCTACCAATATAACGCACTGTATCTGATGTTACGTGTTAATACAGATATGTGTTCCGAGATATTTGTCTTGATTACACAAAACAATATAATAGCAAATTTTGAAATTTTTAACTTTGTTTTGTTTCATTATTCAAGTGTTATTCAATATAGACAGGGTATTTTGTACTCTAGACATATTTATTACCTAAACTTGTTCGGTAACGCTTTCATTGGATAATATGTTTTATTTCAGCAAAATTAGTTGAAAATATAATACGAAAACTCCAAACTTAATTGAGTGGTTTTAAAGCATTAAGAAAATTCCGTTACCATCAAATAACTGACAAATTGCTGCTTGTCATATATTAATTAATGGAAAATTCTTATAGTGTTTGTGATATAGACATCATAAGGCAGATACGGTTACATAGGTCACAACTATGCATTAATGTTTTATTAGATATTTGCTTCAGAATGCATAAAATGTTTCTCGAGTATATAAAGCTTCATGTTTTATGCAGTTCTAAAAATAAACAAGGAACCCGTTGAATACGTATGACAAAACTCGTATAAATATTTAAATGAAAGGGTCGAAATAGATAAATACAGAACACATTTCGATAAAACGAAAAATATGGCGAAGCCTTCAAATAATTTTATTTGCATAATCTCGCACGGCAAGTATAAACCAAAGAACTGATTTTCACACACACACACACACACATATATAAATACATATATACATACACACACACACATATATAAATACATATATACATACACACACACACACATATATAAATACATATATACATACACACACACACATATAAATACACACATACATATATACATACACACACACATATATATATACATACACATACACACATATATATATATATATACTGTTACGTATTAGAATTTCAAATGGTCTGAAACTGAGTTACTGAGAAAATTAAATTTAGTAGTTAAATTGTACTTTGGATTTAGCAGTTACGTAAACGCCGATATATATTCAGTTTGTGATATTTGCCAACAAGACTGATACACACAGTTTTCTTTTTTAACACAAATACGTTTTAATATACACACAACAATACAATTTACAATAACAGTTATTACAAATAGTTATTATATAAACGAATTTATGAACAAAAGTTTCACAAACTTACAAGGAATATAAAGTCTGCTTTCTAGTTTGGAACTTCTTCGATATCTTATTGAGGGTTCATGTTAAGCGAGTTGATTACGAGTTGACGTAGGAATAATTCACTTGCTTTGTCCTTCGTTATTTACCAGCCACACACGCCGATTACAGGTCAAGTTTCTTTTACCGCTGAAGTTATATAATATCTTCGTAAAAGTACTAATGTCCGATGTGAATCCACTGAAGTCAAATTATTTGTAATGTTCGAACTTTGTAAATGCTCCTGGTCAAATATCTGAGTTTTCCGATTGACAAGCGTTATAACAATCACAGTTATAGCTTCCGAAGTTTATAGCACACT